TTGTTCCTAGTAGCGATGCCAGGAGCCCCTAGTAGCGTTCTTGCTAATGCATAATGCAGTTGCTAAGGAATGTCTGCCAAGGAACGGGTGTCAATGCAACAGGCGTCCGTGCACGACATCGACGAATGATTGGTGTCATTGGCGATGCTCAGCTCATATGCTTTTTTTGCATACACAGCATGTTGGCGCGCAGTGGAACAGCAAACAGCTGCAAATGACTGCCAGTCCAGATCAGTCTGCTTTCTTCTGAATCTGCGTGACTTTCTAGAACCAGATTATCGCTAGAATGTTGACCAAATTCACAGATCGATTGCAATCTGCCTACCAGTGGCTGTTTTTTTACAACTTGTCCGATTCGTCCTGCAAATAAGCCGTGTTGGCATTTTGCAGATCTACACGGGGCTACTGCAGGCTACCTCACTTTGGCTCACAGCATTCCCCGTCCGTGCTCCCCAGGATTTGTGAGGCATCTTCCTGCAAAACAGGGAGCGTTCAGTCAAGTTAAGTCTGCGTAGGGGATTTGCTCTGGCAACAAACGCGGTCCTTGAGCTGCAACGCCTCATTCATGCAGCAGTAGTCGCTGCACTTTAGCTCGTCATAGCACTCCGCCTCTGTACTTCCTTGCCTAGGGACACAATCTTTGTCGTAGTTTCACAGTTTCACATTGTGCATTTTCCCATGAATAGTTGGATTCTGTGGATGACTGCGGTCGCTCAACGATTGAACATGTTGACGGGAACCCTTCCACTCTGCCTGGGCGTGTCCTGATTTTCAGGCTTTCGCTGGTACTTGCTGGGGAAGGCTGTGAAGAACCTTGCAGGAGTTGACGTCTCACAAGCTTCAACGGGTGCATGATTACTCTACACTTCTATGCAGCAAGAGGGCTCGCTGCAATACTTGGGATGGCAGCACTCCTCATCAGTGCTCCCCCCGGAACTTGAAATGGTTTGTGTCCACCTTCTTGAACCATTTGCTGCTGGAAATGTTCCTTGGGCCAGGTGTTGAACATGTTGGACTTCAACTTCCTGTCTACGTTCACACGCATCTCACCATAGAATGGATCAAAGGCTCATTTGTGGAACGTCGCCAGTGCAGGTGTAATCCGCACACCATCGCGGATTGCAACACCTGGGCCACATGGGAATAGCAAAGGGCATGCCAAATGCACCGCAAATATCTGCTCCCAGCACAGCACCGGACAGCTCTCACAACGGTTTAGC